GGCTCATATTCCAGCGTCCTAGTTTTTAGCCTTTTGTTTCTGTCCATGGAGTTTTCTTGGCAAAGATGATGCTATACACAGTCTCAAAAACAATCCCAAGATCATCCTCAATGAGAAAGATAAAGGTGGTGCTGTGGTTGCCACAGGCAACCCTCCCACTGGAGACTAGGCTGTACTTAGTGTTTTTAACTTTAAATATTGCCTATTAATGATGTATACCGTTTTTGTATACTCACAGTTTTGTTCTTAAATATTGTCCTTAAATTCTCTAAGCCACCTTGGGTTCTTTTCTAAGGAGAAAGGTGGAGTAAAAATATTTTGAATAAATAGAGTTACACAAGAACCTGGGAGACAGTTGTTCAGTTTTAAATTTTACCAGCTCCCAACTCGAGACCCAACTGCCAAACACCAAAAGGAATCACAAATCTTTATGAAAAACTTTCCTGAAAACATCTATGAACCAATCCACTTGCGATCTGGTACCGAAAATACACTCAAAAAAGGCAACCATTGCATTAATACCGTCACTGTTGGAGTATCTGGATATGTGGGCCCCATCCTCAAATCATGCACCACCAGTTAACCTAGCTACGTAAGAGACACCACAAACTTTCTAAGGTAACTTCAATCCACACACAACTTCCTGCATAACACCATCCTCCAATGGATGTAGAAGCTGTGTACACAAAGAGGGACTACAGGCTGTCAGGAACACCATTCGAAACAAGGATAAACCCTACATGATCGCCAGCTTTTGTGGCCTTGGGCTCCCACACAACTCTTCCCGCCTTTGACAATAAAGCCTTCCTCCAAGTCAACAGAACCTCTATGGGTTTTCCCATGGTTCCCCACAATGTGAATAGATTCATGGCTAGCCTAGAATGTTTTCTCAACTGTTTGACCCAAAGACCTCTCCTTACTTTTTATTTTATTTTATTTCTATCCCGCCTATCTGGTTGGGTCAGGACCACTCTAGGCGGCTAACAACATAAATAATACAATAAAATTGATATATAAAACAATTAAGGTACCCTGACATTTTTTAAAAAAAATCTGGACCCATGGAAAGTCAGCCCTAGGGAAATTCTGCTGGGATTTCAATAGCTTTCACCTGAACATTTACTTATTTATTTTATTAGACTTATACACCACCCCAACTAGAACATGTCTACATCAGCCTCAGCCAGAACCATCTGCACAACAGATGCATTTTCCAGACACCGTGGTGAAGCTATAATGGGGACATCTGAGCACTACTGAGTGAATTTGAACATTTGAGTTTATGGGCTGCTGAAATGACCGTAGGGGAAGAAGGAAAAGGGGCTTTTTAAATATGATTGAAAATGAAAGCTGTTCTTCAAGCAATAGTTTACATTAAGTTACATTTGTTTTCTAGATGAGCTGTTGTTTCTCAAGTCTGGAAACAGAGTTAAGAAAACACCACTGCAAAGTATTTCGTTCATTGTTTGACAGTTTTCTTGTATAATGTAAACAAAGGGAGCTTATAGTAAATGGAACTACAGTTTAAAGAACATGGCATTTGCAGTCCAGTGGTGCCATCTTCTGGAAAATGTAGAAATAGGAACTTTAGTTTTTTTTAAAATTTTAGCTTTCTAAAATGAAATTCCCATATGAGAAAAAATCTTGAGATGGGAATTCCGACTTTAGGATCCTCTGCATTGAAAATCCTAATTTAGTAAAAACAAGAGAAGACAGTCTGTAAGAGCTCTAAAAATATGGTGATGGGTCACACAGAGTTATGAATGAACCAACATTCATCAGAACTGCACTCCGGTTTGGGGGCTAGGCATCAAAGGAGATGTAAGACGGCAGCAGAAGGTTTTCTTTCCAGATATTGGTAACAACAGAATGGATTTACAGAGGCTGGGTGAGAAAATGTTTTTCTCAGTGTGTTCTTTACAGGCATAAAGGCTAAAAAACGTTTTTCATTTTATACATTCTTATTTTAAGAACCTTGATTTTATTTGTGCTTTTATATGAAGGCCTTAAGGCTTCTAAAGGCTTGTAAAATAATGATTGTTTAAATTTTTAAGATGATGCATTCTACAGATGCATCCTCTGGTTTTATAGTCTAAAAACTCCTGCATTTTAATTCTCCTATATTTAATATTCAAGTGCAACTTAAGTTTAGCACCTGTAATTATTCATAGGTTGCAAGGAAATATTTTAAGCATATGTGCCTACAATTTTCCTCTAATGTGATCTGTGCCATCCTTTGTCAACAATGATTATAATTATAATAATAATAATCTTAGAACTGCAGAGTTGGAAGGGACCTTATGGATCATTGAGTCTCCCCCTGTTAAGGAGGCACAGTGGAGAATCAAACTCCCAACCTTTGGCTCTGCAGCCAGATACCCAAACCATTTCTATAACTAAACCACTGAGCTATCCAACTGCCCCTCTACACTCTATATAAGACAAATGGAACAATCTCCATGCAATACAGTTAATGCACATAAATTGGACATCAGGAAGGCAATACACAGAAACCTGTTTCAAATCATTTTAATTTATCTGGACACTCTGCACAAGATCTGAAAGTTGCCATTCTGGAGAATAAAAATTGCAGGTCAAGAATCTAGAGAGACACAGCTGAGATAAAATATATACATGTGCTTTGTACATATCTCATTGGATTAAATATTACTCAAGGGTTTTTGAACCACGATGAATGTAAAATGCTACAATAATGATGTCATTTGCTGTTATTTTCCATAGCCCAGGTTCCTTCCCAACTAACCACAGCCACCTTTACAAAATAAGCTTCAAGGGTAATGTCAAGGATTCCTAAGTCATTACCCTATGTTGTTTCTACTGCTGTTATCTATAGCAGGAGTTCCTTTAGGCACTAACTATTGTCACTTTTTACAGAACAAAACTTCAAAGGAAAAGAACTGGAAATCAAACGGGGGGATCTTAAGTCATTACTAGATGTGAAATGCCACATTGACTCCCAACCACTGTCTCTTTATTTTGGAGCCATGTTTAAATATTTGTCACGTAGTCTCTCATGTCTGAGGAAGTGGATTTGATCCATAAAAGCTCACGTTAAAATATAGCTTTTACTTCCTACGGTTCCACAAATGCCTTTTGTCTTCTTAATTTTTTTCCCCTTTGTTTTGTTCCTTGTCTGATATAGTTTTGATTTGCATCTATTAAATTATGGGGTAGGACGGGACATGTTAAAGCTTTATAAAATGATGCACTGAGCAAAGGAAATAGGCAGATAATTTTCCCTGCCCTTTTTCATAACTTTGGAAAGCAACTTAGGGCCCTTCTCTGATATTGGTGGGTGACAGATTCAGGACAGAGAGATGTTGACTGCCTGACATGCACTTAAATTGTGGCATTTCTCACACCTTAGTTTGTGGGTGGATACTTCCACGGGTGGGGGGTATTAAAGGGAGATGAGGACAGTTCTACCAGTGGCCTTTGGAGTAGGAAGGCTCTGGGTACACAGTGAGCAGAGGAATGGTCAGACAGTTCTTCAGGCTCAGAGGAAGCAGGACGTCCAGCTGCTGGTGAGCAGCGTTAGGGAAAGATTCTTGTCCTGCTGGTGGTCTTCCCAGGAAGACCATCTGGTTGGCCACAGTAAGAATACAGGGTGC